TAATCTACATAAATCTAAAATTATTATAGATGAATTTATTTCTATTCATGTATCTATGAATTTTAATGATAGTTTAAATTTATGTGTTAAAAATTAATTCTTATGTACCAAATATAATATAAAAAGTTGTTAATTTGTAGTATTTGATCATAACAAAAATTTGAATCACAGAAGTTGAGTTTTAAGAATACAATTTCGTTTTCTTAATTTTTTTATCATAAATTTTATTTTCTGCCACCGTTTGAAACTCTTCAAATCTTTTCAATAAATTGATATCAAATATTATTTTTACAGTCCATATAAATATTTTTTAGAATAACTTGAAATATACAATCATCTCCGACTAGTTTTCCCATGAGTGTTTGAACTAGAGTCCAAAAGGAGTAGTAAATGGAGTAACTTGCAAGTGAGCAAAGACCTTTCAGTCTGACCAGCAAGAAGTGTCCTCCTCTCTCTCTCTCTCTCTCTGACCAGCAAGAACTAAGAAGTGTCCTCTCTCTCTCTCTCTGACCAGCAAGAACTAAGAAGTGTCCTCTCTCTCTCTCTCTCTCTCACACACACACACACACACACTGCATCCAATAGATACACACCAGTATGATCTCATCTTAGACACACATTCACCCCTTGAAAAACTCCAACTCTTAACCTCTTTCTCTCTCTCTCCCCGTCTCTCTCACTCTCACTCTCTCACACACACACACACACACACACACACTCTTCACTCTCCCATCTCCCAAAACTGCTACCACTTCCCAACGACCCCCCCGGGCCTCCCCCATTCAGCCTCACTCAATAAACCCACATTAGTCAATGCTCCACCACCGAAACAGACACACATGCATTCATGAGTAGAGTCTCAACACACCAATTTTGTGCTAAGGTTGTAGTTCTACTGAATATAATCATAGTCATACGAGAACGACATAGTTTTTTACCAAAATGGGCTGTCTGATTTCTCAGCTCGCCGCCAAATTTGCCTTCTTTCCGCCGGCGCCGGCGACGTACCAGGTCAAGAAAAGGGATGACGGAAAACTGGTGGCGGTCTCAACCCAATCTTCTATGCCTATAGCGGTTGATGACGCTTCATTTGACGTTCTTTCGATTAAAACTAAGAGAGGAAACAAGATTATTGCATTTTATTTGAGGAATCCATATGCGAGGCTCACAGTTTTGTATTCACATGGAAACGCCGCCGATCTGGGACAGCTTTATGATCTCTTTGTTCAGCTCAAAGCTAATCTTAGAGTCAACCTCATTGGGTCCGTTCCTCTTCCTTTTTTTAATTTTCTGTTTTATAATCTTCAAACAGAATAAAAAACAAATCTTTAGATATATCAACATAGTTATATTTTTTTAAAAAAAATTCCTACTTTTCTGTTCTTTGTTATTTGCACCAATATATACAAATCTTTACCTGATATATCAACTTGGTTATTATTATTATTATTTAAAAAAAAAATCCTACTTTTCTGTTATTTGTTATTTACACAAATACAAATTTTTACATGGGTATTTTTGTTTCATTTCTTGTGAGGAATATATGCATTTATTCAAAGCCGTACACATGTTGAAAATGATGTTTTTCCTCCTTTCTCATAATTTGTGTTTATGATTTGACAATATTTTACTCTGTCCGTCCAATTGTATAAGCTTATTTTATTTTTTTACATGGAATAAGAATTCTTCCTTAATGTCATTGAAAAATTAAACCCATGTTTATTTTCTTAAAATAAAAAATACGATTGTCATTTATCACATCAAGCCACTAAATTTGAATTTATATCTCTTGTGTGGGCCATAACGACTATATTTTTCATTCTTATTTTTACGAAAGCGAGAAACAAACGGCCCTAATTTTTGTCAAGGTTTTTCTTAGTTTATCCCTATTTAATTTTTAATATGTAGTAGTAAATTATTTTTGAAATTAGTAAAGAATTTGAATGAAGTAATTTGAAAAATAAGAAATGAGAAACGATCCATGTTTCCAAGAAGTAGAAATGTGTGAATTTGGATAATTTCAAGAAGTTTATATTAAGCGGAGAAAATTGAATAAAGGTATATTGATAAATGAACTAAACAAAATATTCTAAATTATGAAACAGACATATATATTTGGGACAAGAGAAAAATGAAACATAGCCTATATAATTGGGACGGAGGGAGTATTTTGTTATGGCTACAGTAGATTCACATTTATTTCGTTGATGAATATTTGTTTCTTTCATTACATGCATACACAATCACAAACTTTGACACAAACACATATTTCTGTTCGTCAAAGGTTGTCATTTTAGTAGCATTTTCTTAGGAGAAGGGATGGGGGTTGTCAATTTTTTTTGAATTATGTATTAGTGATTTTTCTCGCTGGTAGTTTGTTCAATGGATAATGAATTTTTACCTTTTAATTAATATAAAGCCCTATAATTTTCTTATTGTTACACTTTTTTCCAACTTTCAGTGTTTCTTTATTTTTTTGTCCTCTATTTTACCCAAAAGTCGTTGATTTTTAATCGTGAATCACCCAAAAATGAACTGCAAAAGTTAAAAGATTTTTACTGTTGAATCAGTGACATTAATCAAGGTGCTTTTTTTTTTTTTCTGGAGTTTGTGCTTTAACTTATGCTTTCACGTTTGCTCTTGATTTGATCTGTCTTTCCATGTGCAGTTTATTGTCTAGTCAGATACAGTTGTTCTGGAACTTGTATCAGGGAGAGCCTTCT